TGCAAAACTAGGGCAGCAAAGGTAGAGATGGGAACAAATAGACCAGCTGGCCTGGGACAGCCCCCTCCTTCACTGCCTTGGCAGCTGCCTCCACCCCCTCAGTACATCCTGCCCACCTCCGGTGGCTAAGCTGTCAGGGAAACTGTGCTTTGTGACCTGGGGCAACAGGCTGCCCCCAGGCCAAGCTGCGGGGGAGATGGGAGCTAAACCACTAGCTCCCAAATGGCAGGCTCCATACCCTCGCCATCACCCCGCCATCCCCACACCTTAACGCACCCCCGGGGCAATATGACCCTGAGAAGTGTGACCTGGGAACGAGGGGCAGCAGAGGCCGCCCCCACGTCAGGCCTCCAGAGAGATGGGAGGTTATCCTCCAGCTCGCAATAGGCAGCACCCCTCTCCTCTCCACCTCCTGATCTCACCGCGCCCACCTCCCAGGAGCAACCTGACCTGGTGTGGTGTGTCGAGGGGAATCTTGGGCGGGAGAGGCTGTCCCCAGGCCAGGTCAGGGAAAAGAAGTGGCCCCATTAGGCAGCTGCGACGGCCGGCTGCCCCTGCCCCTTGACTTCATCGCTTCCACCTCCCAGGAGAAAGCTGACCTGGAGACGGGCATCCAGCTTCTTGGGCAGCAGAGGACGCCCCCAGGATTGGAAGCGGGGAAGAGGGGAGCAAATTGACAAGCTCCGCGCTGCAGGTCCTCTACCCCGGATGTCCGGTGAACTTGGGGTAACAGGGACCGCCCCCAGGGCAAACCATGTGGGGAAATGGGAGCAAATGGACCTGCTTCATGGGAAAACCCACCGCTGCTGCCACCACCCCTAACGTACCACGCCCGCCTCCAGGGGTCAGGCTGACTAGGATACACGTGTCCCATAACCCAGGGCAACAGAGATCGCCCCAGGACAAGCCGCAGGGAAGATGGGAGCAAATGAGCCCGCTTTCCAGCTGCAGGCCCCCGACCCCCGCCACCCCTGCACCCTGACTACCCTGCCTCCCACCCCCAGTTGGCTAAGTGGGACAGGGGTGCCCCAGAACCTGGGGCAGCAGAGGCTGCCCTAAGGCCTCACGGTGCAGACATGGAGCTAATCCCCACAGCCACCACCTTACCAGCTCCCTGACCACACCGCACCCATCTCCCAGGAGCAAGCTCACCTGGAGTCGGACCTCAGGCAAATTTCCAGCGGCAGAGGTCGCCCCCAGGCCAAGCTGCGAGGGAGAGAAGAAATGGAGCAGCTCCCTGGAACTTCCCCCCTCCCCCTAGCGCCGCTGCACCCGCCTCCCAGGAGCAAGCTACCTGGAGACCGGCATCCCGCCTCTAGGGCAGCAGAAGCTGCCCCTGGCTCGCCGCGGGGGAGAAAGGAGCGAATTGACCGGCTTCTGCACTGCAGCCCCACTACCCCCATGGGCCCCGCACCTTAATGGCACTGTCCCCACTCCCCACTCAGCAAGCTGAGTGGGACAGGTGTGTCCGGAAACCTGGGCAGCAGAGGCCGCTCCCAGGCCCAGCAGCCTGGACAAGGCAGCTATTCCACCAGTTCGCCAGGGGCAGCCCCGCTCTGCCCCTCTGTGGCTGCCGCTGCCCGCTGACCTAACCGCCCCACCTACCAGGAGCAAGCTTACTTGGAATCCAACATCTGGCGAATCTCCGGCAGCCAAAGCCCCTCCAGGCCAGGTTGCAGGGAAGACAAGAATTCGACCGGCTTGCCCGGGCATCCTCCCACCCACCGCCGCGGCCACCGCGGCCTCCGCCGCCCCAAACCATTGCACTAGCCTCCCGGGGTCAGGCTCACTGCGAGGATGTGCACTTGCCTTCTAATCCTGGCCACGTGCCTGAGCACCTCCCTGCATCCCTACACTCCCTGCACCTCTGCACCCCTGCCACTCTCTGCACTTCTGCACTGCCTGCACCCCCGCATCCCCTGAAATGCCTGCGCCCTCCACAGCCCCTGTACCCCTGCCACCACTTACACCTTTGCACTGCCTACACTCCTGCACCCCTGCATGTCCCACACACCACCTCTTGGGCCTGTGGCAGAGTCTCTGCTGTTAGACCAATGCACAGGGACTCACATCTTTGCCAGTATATGATGCATCAGTGGACGTCTGGGGTTGGCTGCAGGAAGGTACATGTTCCTGGTCACTAGCCTGGGCCACTAGAGTGATCTCTATGAGGTCACCCAGGATGGGCACAGAGATGCTGTTCTCTGGGAAGAGAGGAGTTGAAACCGGTCTTGAGGGCAGAGCTGTGCTCACCAGCCCATCCACTCTTCATGTTTTACACAGGGCTTCGGAGAACTGAAATGGATCCAGCCAAGTAAGACCGGCCTGCTGTGTGCCCACCTCAGTCCTGGGCTCTGAGGCAGACCGACTGGCTCCCACCCTCAGGGCTCAGTTTGGGCACCTGAATGGTCCCTTGGAGGCATCCCATCAGTTCTCACGAAGAAGTCTGGCTGCTTCCACCCCATGGCCCTCCCTCCCACTGTGCTGGATTCAGGAAGGTTCCTTAGTTGGGGAAGAAGGCAGCCCACCCCCTACCCAACCCTTCACTTTTCTCTAACCCAGGCTGATGCTTTCTCTGCCCTTCAGAGTCTGGAAAGCCATTCCTCTTCAGTTATGTCCTTTCTGAGAGGGACTTGCTTCCACTCAATTCTAGGCAAGGATGCACCATGGAATGCACTGGGTAAGAGAACCAAAATAAATAGTTTCTTCTGTGAGGTTTTCTGTTTATCTACTGGGGCTGGGCTGTGTGTAGTTTGCTACAGCTATTCGTGTGAGAGGCTAAAGCCGCCTGTGTGTCCTTGTTTTCATCTCCCCACTGTCTTTGGGTTTTCCCTAGACACTCCTGAGACATTTACTTCTTTTAATTTTATTCCTGTTATTACACAGGGGCCCTACTGATATGGAGGTAAGGTGTTGGGGGAGCGGAACAGAGCAGGGCATCTGTAGTCCTGTGATTAGTTTTCATTGAGCCTGTGCCCTGAGCTGTGACCTCCACAAGTGTGTCTCTTTCCCCCCACCCCAATTTGGGTGGCACAGAAGGTATTTCCCTTTCCCCAGGTAGGTTAGTCTCTGGTAAAATAATTTCTCATTAAAAAACAAAACAAAACAAAACACACACACTCTCCCCCACCCCACAAAGGAAGAGAATGTTCTGGGTGTATTTCAATAGAGCTTATTTTTTCCTTCCTGGCAGGAAGCATAAGGAGTTTTCCTATGATCTTCACTCTGAGAACAGGGTACGGCCCTAGAGGTAAAATGCATGAAAAAGAGCAGGGGGCCCCTCTGACTGGCCCCCTGGAGTTGCCACACTCAGACTTCCCCACGTTGAGCCTCCAGCTGGCTTCAGGGACCTGAGGCCTGCTCCCGGGGTTCTTACAAAAGAGAGTTCTGCCCTGGGAGCTGTGACTCTCCAAGTCTACCTGGCTGCCTCTCTGGGTTGGGAGCAGCTTTCCCCCTCAGTTTTCTTGTGGATCTAAGAAGAGCAGTGGGTTTTCAGCTCCCTCAGCTCTGGTATTGTTTTCAGGACAGAAGGAGCAACTTCTGAGCTCCTCACAAGCTGGACCAGAGGCTGGAAGCCTCCCCTCCTCTGCCTCCATGCAGACAATCAGTGGCTGTGGTTCTAGCTGAGTTTCTGAAGATGTGGATTTAAACACACACATCTCAGCCCCCACAGGAGCACACAGTCCCATAAATCCCTACAACTTCCACTGGTAAATACGGAGCTGATGAGGACACGGGTTTCGGGGCTGCAGAGGCCTGACTGCACGACTTGCTCCATGGACTATTTATATGGTTGTTCTGGGCC